ATTTAGTAATGCTCTGCTAGATTGCCTACCCCAGCTTAGCATTCCCGCAGAGCTTTTTACACTATATTTAGTAAGATTTAGCTAGATTGCCTAGCCAGCTTAGCATTCCAGCAGAGCATTTTTTCACTATATTTAGGAATGCCCTGCTAGATTGCCTAGCCAGCTTAGCATGCCAGCAGAGCATTTTTACACTATATTTAGTAATGCCCTGCTAGATTGCCCAGCCAGCTTAGCATTCCAGAAAAGCATTTGTTTCACTATATTAGTAATGTCCTGCTAGATTGCCTACCCCAGCTTAGCATTCCAGCAGAGCATTTTTACACTATATTTAGTAATGCCCTGCTAGATTGCCTACCCAGCTTAGCATTCCAGCAGAGCATTTTTTCACTATATTTAGGAATGCCCTGCTAGATTGCGTAGCCAGCTTAGCATGCCAGCAGAGCATTTTTACACTATATTTAGTAATGTCCTGCTAGATTGCCTAGCCAGCTTAGCATTCCAGAATAGCATTTGTACACTATATTTAGTAATGTCCTGCTAGATTGCCTAGCCAGCTTAGCATTCCAGCAGAGCATTTTTACACTATTTTTAGTAATGCCCTGCTAGATTGCCTAGCCAGCTTAGCATTCGAACAGAGCATTTTCTCACTATATTTAGTAATGCCCTGCTAGATTGCCTAGCCAGCTTAGCTAGCCAGCTGAGCATTCCAGCAGAGCATTTTAACACTATATTTAGTAATGCACTGCTAGATTGCCTAGCCAGCTAAGCGTTTCAGCAGAGCATTTTTTCACTAAAGATAGGAATGCTCTGCTAGATTGCCAAGACAGCTGAGTATTGCAGCAGAGCATTTTTACACTATATTTAGGAATGCCCTGCTAGATGCCCAAAACAGCTAAGCATTACAGCAGATTATTACCTTCCCTATATAAATTGAAATGCCTTTTTGCTTAGCTCACTGTTCACTGCTAACTTCTCACATACAATTGTTTTGGCAATTTAGTGGTCATTAGCCTCGACGTGACCTATGGAAATTAGTTGCTCCCGCCCGCCATCTTGTTTGACGCGAAGAAATCCGAATGAACCCAACATAATTGTATGACCACTCGGCGCATTGTCAAATGACTTGTGCACCGAACAGTATATCATCTGAACTGAACATAATGACGGTATCACACCACAGTTTGTGTTCACTACTGAACATAATGACTTCTGCACCGAACAGAATATCATCTGAACTGAACATAATGACGGTATCACACCACAGTTTGTGTTCACTACTGACCATAATGACTTCTGCACCGAACAGAATATCATCTGAACTGAACATAATGACGGTATCACACAACAGTTTGTGTTCACTACTGAACATAATGACTTCAGCACCGAACAGAATATCATCTGAACTGAACATAATGACGGTATCACACAACAGTTTGTGTTCACTACTGACCATAATGACTTCTGCACCGAACAGAATATCATCTGAACTGAACATAATGACGGTATCACACAACAGTTTGTGTTCACTACTGAACATAATGACCTCTGCACCAAACAGAATATCATCTGAACTGAACATAATGACGGTATCACACCACAGTTTGTGTTCACTACTGAACATAATGACCTCTGCACCAAACAGGATATCATCTGAACTGAACATAATGACGGTATCACACAACAGTTTGTGTTCAATACTGAACATAATGACTTCTGCACCGAACAGTATATTATCTGAACTGAACATAATGACTTCTGCACCGAACAGTATATCATCTGAACTGAACATAATGACCTCTGCACCGAACAGTACATCATCTGAACTGAACATAATGACTTCTGCACCGAACAGTATATCATCTGAACTGAACATAATAACGGTATCACACAACATTTTGTGTTCACTACTGAACATAATGACTTCTGCACCGAACAGTATATTATCTGAACTGAACATAATGACTTCTGCACCGAACAGTATATCATCTGAACTGAACATAATGACCTCTGCACCGAACAGTACATCATCTGAACTGAACATAATGACTTCTGCATCGAACAGTATATCATCTGAACTGAACATAATAACGGTATCACACAACATTTTGTGTTCACTACTTAACAGAATGACTTCTGCACCGAACAGTACATCATCTGAACTGAACATAATGATAGTACTATTCTACAGTTCTATTTCACGACTGAACAGTCTGAATAAAGCACCCAACAGCATGTCATTTCAACTGCAAATGATAAAAGGATCACCCAATAATACACTGCCTCAGCCAAACGAAATGATAGTACCACTTAACAGTTTAATTTCATGGTTGAACATGATGAGAAGAGCTATTTCAACCGAACATAACAACTGTCATACCCTACAACATATCTTTTTAACTCAACATAATTGTGTGACCACAGGCCTGTTTGTTTTAAGAACTGAACATAACGACTTATGCACCCGACAATACATTGACTTGACTGAATAAAATACAGTCAGCACACAACATTACACTTCAATAACTGAGCGCATTTGGATTTCCACCCAGTATATTGGGATTTTGACCCAGCATATTGTATCTCGGACTCAACAGAATCACATTTAACCATGTATATCAGTCATTCTACACATAAGACAGTCCAGGCGTTCCATACTTTCCTATGAGAAATTGAGAAATCAAAAGTGTATAGTATGCTTAGCCACCTGCTAAGCATTCCGTCAGCATCTTTGAAATTTTTTAACCAAACAAGACTTGCATGATCAGTTCGTATTTCAAAATGTCTACCCATTAAATAGTGTCTAAAATGACGGACCGAATGAAGAACTGCAAGAAGTTCTCTCATTGTTGTACAATAGTTCATTTCTGAATTTGAGAGAGTTTTGCTTGTATTAGCTATGACAACTTTGCGGCCATTTTGCTCCTGAGAGAGTATTCCTGCAATTCCATAAGCAGAAGCATCAGTTTCAAGTACAAACTTGCCATGTCTAGTGGGATATGCTAATATAGGAGCTTTTGTAAGTTTGCCTTTTAATGTTTGAAAAGCAGTCTCACAAATTTCATCCCAATGAAAACGCGTTTTCTTCTTTGTTAACTGAACTAATGGAAACGCAATTTCGGCGCACTGATTAATGTAAGGTCTGTAATAATTAACTATCCCTAAGAAACTCTTAACACCCTTTTTTGTGCTAGGACGCTCCCAGTTTGTGATTGCTTCAATTTTGCGATCATCACAACTTATGCCTTGCTCAGATACTACATGTCCAAGAAAATTACATTGTTTCTGAAAAAATTTACATTTTGAGGCCTTTAACTTGACATTAGCATGGCGCATTCTATCAAATACTTCGCGCAAATTTAACAAAGTAGTTTGAAAATCTGGGCCATATATGATCACATCATCTAAATAACAGAGGCATTTATGCCATTGGAGGCCATAAAGTATTTTTTCTACCAACCGTTCAAAGGTTGCTCCAGCATTACACAAACCGAAAGGTAAAACATTGAATTCCATCAAACCGCGTGTAGGAGTTGAAAATGCAGTTTTACAACGGTCACTTTGATTCATTGGCACTTGCCAGTAACCACTTGCCATATCTATTGTGTTAAAATACCTAGACCCAGCAAGAGTATCAAATATCAGGTTAATGTTCGGAAGCGGGTATGAATCTTTAATGGTAACAGAATTCAAACACCTAAAGTCTATAGCAAATCGATAAGTGTTATCAGGTTTTCGAACCAAACAAATTGGTGAAGACCAGGCACTCTGACTAGGTCTTATTATGCCGTCATCCAACATATCTTATCAACTTCCGTTTCAATGACCTCTCTTTGATGCAAAGAATATTTTCCGTTGAGGAACCTTAATTGGCTTTGCTTGCCCTGTGTCTATGGTGTGTTCAGCCAAATGGGTACGGCCTATTTTACCGACAGGACCTACAAAGATATCCTGATACTCAATTAACAATTCCTTAAATTCTTGTTTCTGAGTTTCAGACAAATCGGGTGAAATATTTTCAAACAAATCTTTCAAATGGTCAGGTATTTCATCTGTATGCCTTATTGAAGGGGAATACTGATCACAGGTCTCAACTTTATGCAATGTACCAATAACTTGACCTTGCTTAAGTTTAATGGGCTTATCAGTAAGATTCATTATTGAGCAAATAGGTATCCCTGAGTCAGACACTAGAGACCTAGCCATCAAAACACCTTTCTTAAGATTAGCAACAGGCTCTATCAAATGTACATTGTCATACAAAGGGTTGTCTACCTTGCCCGAAACAAGAATTTCTGAATACTCTGGAATTAAGCAAGTTTCCCCAAGTGTAACTTTTCCCACACTAGAAGAATCTAACCTAAACAATTGCACAATGCCTGCCTTAGTTTGCCACTGAAGATTTTTCCAAGAAAGATTTCGGCCTTGAGTCATTATAAAGTCTTGACCAATAATGCCTGAACTTTCATTAAGGTCGGCCACAACAAAAAGCCATGAGTTTGTCTTAGCTTCTGTTTTAAATTCAAATTTTGCACTACCAAAAAGGTTAAGTTTCATGCCATTAGCCACAGAAAGTGTTTGACCACTAGGGACTAGTTTAGGTTTAAGTTCACCCAAATTGTCATAGAACTGCTTTGAAAGTAAGCTAACAGGCGAACCCGTGTCAAATGACATGCGATCTTTTACACCATTTATCTCAGAATGTATATATAAACAAGCACTTGAGTTTTTCAAAGACCTATTTTCTTCCGATATATTTTCAATAGAATTCTGACTTACTAAAGTCTCTGATTTGACATCATTATTTTGTTCATTTGCGGAAAATGAGACCTTATGTTCTGGTTCTTTCGTAACATTTTCACCGGTGTTACTGTCACTAACTGTGGAAACATAGTTCTGTTTATTGGAAAATTGACTTGTCATAGCAGAACTGTCCCTATTAAGGTAAAATGAAACAGTCTTATTGGGCCTAGAATAATCTGGTTTGGTCGCGCTATTGCCATCTAACGCGACCTTTGAAAGTTTAAAGGACACCTTGTGGCAATATGACCAATCTCTTTACACTTATGGCAAATTATCTGTGAATTTTGGCCTCTGTTACCATCATTTGTCCTATAGTTATAATTGATAGGCCTATATCTACTGTCTCTATTGGAATAAACACTATTCCTTGAGTCATAATTATTTTGCGGCGAATATTTAATTCGATCACGATCGGTATCACTGTCATAGCCATCAGCTTGACTCGGGCGTCTTACACGATCAGGTGAACCTACAACAGATTCATACGTAGTGGCTAACTGAACGAGCATGTCTAAAGTCGGACATTTCATTTTTCTCATTTCTAACTTAAGAAAGTTCTTGAAATCACGATTTCCTATCCCATCAATAAACCTGTCACACAATTCTTCCTGATAAAGTGGACCATTCTGTCCCGGACGTCCTAAACCACCTAACATTCTAAGAGCTGTTAACCGAAAGGTTGGTGGTTCAGGCCCACCCAGGGACGCCAAAAATGTAGCAGGAGAGGGCTACTTCCGAGGCGACAGGTTGCAAATTATCACAACCTGGCTTCGCAAGTTCCTCTCCTTTTTACTTGCTACTGATTTATAGAGCCTTAGAAGCTTGGACTCACTTCGTCCCTTTACCCCGAATATTTGCTGCAAGAAATGACAAAAACACCAAGTTTCCAGTTCTGATTTTTTTAATACAAAATTAAATACTTATACGGCAATGTTCTTTATTTAAACATATAAACTTTCAATTTATCAAAGTATAGACATTAAATTCAATAACAACTATCAAATTTAATATAAAGAACTTTCAATGCAGAGTAATGGATAAAAGATATACTGTACTTTTACTTTAATAAAGAAATACTAAATAATTTACTTTTATAATACCTAATGAATTTAGAAATGGGAAGGGGCGGTAGCTTGGCTTTGTAACCTTTGCTACCAATGATGCCAATAAAATCTGACCTTATATACCAAAGTAATTATTATTTCTAATCAACCAATATATCAACATATCATTTCTAACATTTAGCTTCATAAAATATAAATTAAGAATAACTACTTAAAACAAAATTATTAAAGTTTTATACCAGAGACCTTCTTTATCTTGACAATTTTAATAGCTAAAATTTACTCGATATGTTGTATACAAACTATTTCATAAAATATAACAAATTACAATTTCATGTACCAAAAAGAAAAGGGAAATAACAATTTAGAACTTAATTCAATAAGTGTCAAAAATCAGAACATTTATTTTACAAAGGGAAACAACCTGCCCTACTACAATTGTAACTATTAGTGTTTTGTACTCATAGGTTCGAATCCCACTTAGTGTCATTTTATAACCACAGTTTTTTCTTCTTACTCTGTTTTTTCATCATTATTCTTCATTTATTTTTCGTTTTCCTTTTTGTTTTCTTCTTATAATATATATTTTATAGTATATATATATATAATTTTTTTTTATTTCCATTCTATTTTCTTTTTTGTATTTTTTTGATCGCAGTGTTATAAAATATTCGATATCATATTCATGTATGTATATGAAAAAAACGGTCAAATTTGTTTTCTGAACAATTGACTACTCTGAAGTTAACACAAAAAATGTACCATGTTACCAGTAGTCGAACTTCTGCCTGTACGGGTAAAACACACTGCTGTCACGGTTGCTCTACCTACTGCGCTAACAAGTCATATGATAATATGTAGTTTTAATTTCATTTTTATAGGTTGTGGCATTGATCTGCCTAACCTATTTTTCGCATTGTTATTGGTCTTTGTTATGTAAACAAAGGCTCAAGTTATCATCCTAGGAAGTTTATTTATTTCGGAACCGTTGTAAAATAGCATGGATCAGTGCACTTCAGAAAAGGTAAGTCATGTGTGTATGGATAGTACTGTAATACTTATTGGCCATACTTCTTACAGATAGATGTTGTAGTGTAGTGGTAGCGCGCTGGTCTGCTATACGCGTACAGATTCGGGTTCAAATCCCAGCATTGCATTTTTTAAATATTTTTTTTTCAATGTACAGGTACTCAATTGAGCTTTTGTGCTACACGTGACATAATGGCTTGCAACGAAAATCATTTATTTATTGCGAGCACGCAATACTTGACTGTTTGTTTGAGGGGTATGTTGTGGCGCTGTTAGGAGAACGTCATCACATTTTTGTACTTGGTGAAAACCTTGCCATTCATTCTCCGTAATAATCACCTATTGAGTTACTCTCTTGGCAATGGAGAGGAACACGCCAGTGCCAGCGCGACTTGAGTGCCACAAAGGTTGAAGGCAGCGTTTGATTGATGAATTAAATGATATTTTACTTATCATATATGCTCAAGCATTCTCGTGGGGAAAAAACATGGACAGTTAATATATATATGTACAAAAACTGTAAAAAGAAAATAAATAAATTAGAAAATAAATAAAATAGAAATTGAAGGAATAAAAAATAGAATACAAAAAGGCCTAATAAAAGTATTACCCTCTTGTTGGATTTGAACTTACGACCTTCCGCATACAAAACAATCACCATAACCACTACACTGTCAGGCCAGATAATATGCATTTTCCTATTTTACTGGTAATGTATTTTCGTACATTTTTCCTGCCACCCCTATGTACTTTTAGATTTAAGATTTCCCATTCTCGATCATATTTGAATCGACGTATCATTCTTTCATTTTATTTATATATTTGTTTTTTTTATTTGTTTTTTTGTTTTGTTTTTTTTAGGGGTGTGGGTTACTTCGCACCAACACAGTAGAGATCATTTGGCGACTTTCCAGCTTAACTGGTGGAGACAAATCTCATTTGTTCCTCCGTGCATTATTTCAGTGACGTGAGCTGGATAACTTTCGCACTTGAAAGAATACAAATGACCTAATCGTATTCCAACCTATACAGGCGAGGGACAAGTGTTTTGAAGAACACCCAGCCATCATTCTCTTCTACCACTCATTTTAATATATTTGTTATTACAAATTAGATACATATATGTACTGCCTTTCAATAATTGTTAAATTGGCGATATATAAAACAGGACAATTTATTATAAGGTGTTATATGCAAATTAATGTTACATGTACTTGATTTAACCTCGGATCAGTTGTTCCTATTAACAACATACTTAAAACATACAATCATACAATGTCACGTTGTTTTATAGCGTTTTATGTAAATGAAAAATAAGAAATGAGAAAGTAAATTGTTCATTTTTAATACTGCCAGATTGGACGAGATCGGCGTTTCTTTTTCTTCTGTGAAAATTCCGTTTTCTTATAATAATCATACTGTAGATTCACGTGCTCTTGACACAGTTGATGATCATTTATGTGTGGCCGGGATTCTACTTGCTCCATGTTTCTTACATGATGCCCATGATCATGATTTCCCTGACTGTCTTCGTGTCGCGATTTTGCATTGAAGTTCTCTAAATCGAGATTTTCATCAAGCTCAATTTCTTTTCGTCCCATGTCTTTTGTTGTTTGATGCTCGCGCATCCTATGCGTGTAATCTTTGAGATTTTCTTTATGATTATGTGGCTCCTGTCTTTGGTAATTATATCGTCGGTTAAATATTTTCAGCTGCATCTGCTTCTTCTCCATGGTGAGTTCAATAACTTCAGTATCAACTTGTCTATGATTGCTATAAACATAAAAAAAATCTTATTCTTATAATAATTAGACTTAAATGTCCTTAGTACAAGAACATAACTTTGTATAAAGACTTTATTTGTTTTATTTTTATTCATATTTATTTATACATTGGTTAATTAATTTGATATATTCTTTATAATTTCTTTTTATTTTTTATGTCACCACCAAGGTTAAAGTGTCATAATACAATAGTTTCATTTTAATGTTGTCTAAAGGGTAAAGTTATTACAAGCTTAGTTATGACATTTTGGAATCTATTGTTTGGTATTAAGTGAGCATAATAGTTACTAATTTACCTCTTATATGTTTGAATTCCAGCAAGTGTCGCGATGCTGCATACCAACAGAATAATCAGGATGGCAGATCCAACAATAGTGTATGTTATTCCTGCAGATGATTTACCTGTCATAAAATATAATAAAAAATCAGTCATTTAGTAACCAATGTATTGATTTTGACCGTAAATGCCAGTTATTCCGTGTTTTAATACCATTGAATGTTAAATGTTGAATAATGCTTAAGCTGGTGCTATAAGGTGTGGACGGTAGCTTTCACTTTCCAACAGACTTAATAAAACCGAGCCTCAACATTTTCAGTGTTGCTGTTTTGAATGTTCTTAAGAGGTTTTCGTTCGTTCTATTTAAACATTTGTTAATTTCTTCTTTAAATTACAAAATACGCAACACGAATAATTACTTATAATTTCAAAATAATATATAATATATATCTGAGTGTCTATATGAAAGGGGTTATTACCTTTTGGGCTCTTCCTTTGCAATTGTAATTTTGAGCATGAATATGAGCCAAGACTGTTAGTGCATGTAAAAGTAACGTTGCATAGATTTGAATTGCATTCGTTTATATCATTTTCGCAGTTCTTGCCATCCCAACCCGTGTCACATTCACACTTGAACGACCCGTTGATATTAAGGCATGTTCCGGAATTAAGACAAGGCAAACTTTTACATTCGTTGATATCACTGTCGCAGTTTATTCCTTCCCATCCTTTGAAGCATTGACAGTCAAACGATCCCGGGATATTGATGCATGTCATTGCTGTATTTTTGCATGGATTACGAGAGCATTCATTAACGTCAGTTGTGCAATTGCGACCTATCCATCCAGGTGAACAAATACATCGGAGACCTCTTCCACGTTTCTGACATACCCCGTTTTGTCGGCATGATGAACTGTAAAAAAATAACTTAAATGATGATACTTTTTAAAACTCTGAACTTTTAATTAATGCAGTAAAATTATCAGATAAAGTTTTGCATTTGTTATTTTACTGAACCTGTAGTTTTTATGGTATTGCATGTCATTTAGAATCTTTTTATGATAATATTTTTTCTCTGTTTTCATTTATATGTTTCTTATGTCATTTTCTAGTCCGATTACTTTATGTTTTTACACCTTTTGACATATCCTCCGTCACATTTATTATTTTATAAAAACTAAGGCAGTTCATAGCTTGTTATTTGGATATTTCGCAGATAGAGAGAAGCACAACAAATAACTGTTTGAAATATTATCAGTACTTGGTCAAGCACAAGTCCTCACACCATTCTCCCATATAACCCGTGGCACACTTGCGAAAAGAAGTTGAATTATCTATTTTGCCACAGTGTTCGTCTTCACCTAACCATCCATCAAAGCATTTACATCTGAAAGAGTATAATAACATTTAAATGCTACTACAAATTTCGTGAATATAATATTGCAACTGACAAGTATTTTATCATGCAAAAATACAAAACTATATTGTAATGTAGTCATAACCTTTAAATTATGTTAGATTGAGACGAATCTGAATATGCTAAAAAATATAAATGGATATCATCTGTATATTATTTTCAAGGCTTTAAGCGAAAACAAAAACAATTTTTGCCAAGAAACATAAACGGGAAAAGTATACTGAGGAAAATAGTAACAAGATGTTCAAGATTTCTGTAAAATGTTTTAAGACTTAATAATATTTTCGTGTCTATTATGTATTACTTAGACAAGACCATCGTCACGCTTTAAATTTAAGTAGTGTGAATGAATGTGTTATTATAGGAAATATTTAAAATGAATTAAAGACATCTGCTTGTTAGTCTATGTTATGTTATAAATCGTCGACATCATTTCTTTTGGCCTCTTTATATTCTTAATGTAGAAGTGTTGGGTCTGTCACCTCTGTTTACTACTGATTAAACAATATATCAATCTCGCTTTTTGAACATAGATTGCTTGATGAGATTGCGATCAAATTCACAGCAAACAATTGTATAGATATAAAGATGTACCTATAGCTTCCGATAGTATTTAGACAACTTCCACGATGATGACATGGATCTCCAAGGTTGCATTCGTCAAAGTCATCATGACATGTCACTCCCTGTTATAGTAAAAGTAGGAATTATATAAGGCATTTCTTAACGTATATAGATAGCAGTTCTTTGCAAAAGAAAACAATTTTAGTAATACTGCATTTTTTGCTATATCAAGTGAATAATTGGTGCGTTCTTTAATATCAAAGCAATAATTATGAACGAAAATGCTTAATAATAATTGTTTGTTAAAGTATAACCATTACATGTTTATGATAATAATAGTAATGTGACAACTCTTAATGAATATTTGCCAACATTTTGTTACCAATTTACTTCTTAAGTTAGTACGGTTGTTTGAACCTGATGCATGAAGATATTATGTTCGTTTTATGACATATATTTGTAGATTATATTACCTTTAGATAGTTTCCTAATTCGCATTTTTATATATTAGACATATACCGTTAATAACAGTAATGAAATATTTCAATATATCTGTATTTAAATTGTCATTATTTGT